CATAAGAAATGTTTAATTCCATTTTAGTGTTTCGTATTGGAGTAGAACTATGTCTTGCTAATAAATTTATAGAAAAAGATATATCAAATATAGTATTATTATTAACATATATCAATGCATCAATTGCTTTAAGATATAGTATTTTAGAACCAAGTAATTCTTTGTTATCTTCTCAATTTCAAAAAGGATCTTTTTGGATATCAAACAAACAAACTATCATTAGACTAGTCAATGATGAGCTTTATATAGAATTGTTATAGAACTTTTTCTATATAAGTTAATTGATGAATAAAAATCTCATTCTTTAAGTGCTTGAAATATAGGTCGAGATAAAAAAAATTTTCCCAATGTATTTTATATCAAATTCTCTTTTTAAATAACTTATGACACTTGAAGTACTAACAATATTTGAATTATCAACATATACAATAATGATCACAAACTTCATTTTCGATTTTTTTTATTAAAATACATGAACAAATAGGTATGATTATAATATATTTTTTTTAATAATATTCATTAAGGAAATTATACCACATGCACCTATGTTAGTTATAAAGAGTTGATATTGAAAAATAAAAATAAAAAATAGCATAAATTGAAGTTTTAAAAATTAAAATAATAAAACTTACGTTAAAATAATTCTTATAGAGATCTCTATAATTTAATTGAATATATTTTTCAAAAATATGTATTACATGCTTCGAGCATTTAAGTCCTTCTAGAACTTCATATAGATATCATTTTAAGTGAACAAATAAGCTATGATGACATCCATTAAATGTATGCATGTGAATTTTTTCATATATTTTGCCGAGTTAATAAGATAACAAAATGTAATTGCATCAATTACAAAAGAATATGTCTCCTAATAGTTAATGTCAAGTCTTTGCAAATACTCTTGTGTTATAAGTCTTGCTTTGTATCTCACAATCTCATCTTTATTATTATTTTTTTGCATACATACACATTTATATCCCATTGATTTAACATCTTTAGGTATTTTGACTACGAGTCTTAAAACTACTAATTTTAGAAGAGAATATAATTCGTCTAGATTGCTCTTTCATTTAAGCTAATTACCTTTATGTCGACATTCTTCAATATTTTTAGGCCCGGGATCCTTATTTTCATTTAAAATATCAATTGCAACATTATATATAAAAATATTTTTAATAAATGTTTCTTTTTGATCCTATTTTCTCTTTTTATTGACATAATTTATCAAAGGCTCTTAACTTTTCCGAAGCTTTTGAATTTTTTTCTAAAAGCTTATTATCAAAAATATCTTGGACTATTTTATAAATACTTACATCCTTTATATTTTCATCTTGATTATTTTTCCTCTTCTTTCGGGGACTTTTTTTTTCTTTAAAATCAATCAATCTTTCATGCTTTAGGTTTGTTTTAGATAGATTATCCTTTTAGGACATCAATTCTAATATGAACATTCTAGCGAGGATATATATTTTAGTTACTCTTTTTGAATGCGAGAATGTATCGACGGTTGGTTTACAAGATTTTATAAATGAATTATCTTTTGAACTTCCAGTTTACATTATTTTGTACGAGGATTGAGATGATGTAAAGATAGAGTACTCCATGTAATCTTTTTTTTTTAACATTTCCAACTACTTATTTTACTTATTCTCTCTCCTTAATATTGAAAAAACTATTTCATCAAAATGACGATCGACAAACCGAGTTATAAAAATATCTCTTATTTATGGTTTAAGATCTTTAATTATCGAAAAGAATTCAAATCCAATATATATTTCTAATCTTATTTAAGGGCCTATTTTAATTTGTTGTGGAGGTGCACTAAGGATACTACATAGCTAAAAATTCTTAGATGAGAAATATTTAAGTCATGACTAGAAACCAATTGAAGGGAGGAGATTTTCCGATAACTTGTAGGTTTGATGTGAATAATTGGTACTGCATATAAGATTGCATACCTCCAAACATAAACAAGAAGTTTTGTTTTTATAATTAATGGTTTAGGTATTAATTGAAGCCTTTTGATAAATGATTATGCTAACCCTTTTTGAGTATAAGCAAGAGAAACATATTGTTCAACCTTTATTCAATAGCCAATCAATAATCATTTAATGCTTTAGAGATAAAGTTATCGGCATTATCAAGACGAATTATTTTAATGGCATAATCTAGAAATTGTGCTCACAATCGAATTATTTGAGCTAGCAACATAAACAATATCGGGTTTTGAGTAGATAATATGCATAGATATGACCATCTTATAAAAACATCTATTAAAATCATAAAATATCTAAATGATTCACATGATGGATGAATTGTTCCACACATATAACCTTGAATATATTTTAAAAATACTAAAGATTCAATCTTAATTTTAATTGACGATGACTTAATAATTAGTTTTCCTTGAGAAAACATTTAGAACATGAAAATGTAGTAGATTGAAGAATCTTCTAGCTTTTCAATCGATGTCCATATAAATTTTTAATAAATTTTTACATCATGAAAGACCCATGATAGTCCAACTAGTCATACCACATGATAAAAATATTTAAATTAGTAAACTTCGTTTTGCTATAACATTTATTTCCATAATTCAAATATTTGTAATAAAAATCGAAGAGAAATCGGATAATTTCTTAAATACATATTTTTTGCCTAATATAATAATTATAATATATAATTAGTCAATATTTTTCATATTTGCTATCTTGATATAATATCTATTTACACTAATATCTTCAAAACTCAACAAATTTCAATGAGACTTTAAAGAGAATAATGCAATATTTATAATAAAATTTATCTTTTCAAGTAATAATATATTTGTCTTTCTAGAGCCTTCAAATTATGTTAATTCAAGTAATAATATATTCGCTCTTTAGAATCTTTAAAATTTGTCTCCTCAAGTAATAATATAATGGTTATTCTAGCACCTTGAAAATTTATCTTTTAGGTAATAATATATTCGCTCTTCTAGAGCCCCGAAAACTTGTCTCTTTAGATAATAATAGAGTTGCTCTTCCGGAGCTTTCTATTAGATTGATACTATCGGATATAATATTAACACAAAATAATTAATTAAATAAATACAAAACAAATAAATATTTTCTTCATAAAATTAAATAAATAAATATTTAGCAAAATAATTTTGTAACTATCACTATGCAATATATATTATAAAAAAATATAAAATATCTTATTTATAAATGGAAAAGCTAACAACTTATTAATTTCAATTACCATCATTTTGATATATAAAATTAGCCTTTATATTTTACTCTTTCTTTTTCAAGAAGTTTTGATAATACTCAACGAGATGCTTTGGCATACAACAAGTATGCGATTAATGCCTCTTCATGGAATGATGACTTGATGAATTTTTATTCTTTTTTTATATAATTTATCCACTTCTAGTGGTGAGGTGTATTATTATGGTCATCATGATTATAATGATAATTATTCCGACATGACTATAGTTATGTCCATGTCTTCGTCTATGCCTAAAATTATTATAAGTTATCATATTCATTTCGGAAAATGGAGTAGACCCAGTTGGGTAGGATTTATGATTTTTCATCAATAGCTCATTATTTTTCTTAGCCACAAGAAAGTAAGAAATCAATTCATAATATTTCTTAAAACCTTTTCCTCGATATTTCTACTGCAAGAGCATATTCGAGGCATGAAAGTAGATAATATTTTCTCAACATCAAGCATCCATGATCAATAATTCTTATAAAAAAAGTCAAGCGCCACATCAAGTTTTGTGAGGTTTAATATGATAAAAATTCTATAATGCAAGATATAATGATAATATTAGAAAATAAAAATAAATATAATAATAAAATTTAATTAAGCTTTTCAAACATCATACATTAGATTATTAGATTCTAAATATTAAATTATTCAAGTTTTTTCAAAAGTATACTCTACGTATCATTAGATTTAAAATAAATGATAAATTAGATACATAACTCTTAATGATAAAGATAATTTAGATTTTTTGGTAGAGCATTCATGTAGAGAAACAATCCAATGATTGAAACAAATGATTGAGACTTTTGATAGATACATATCTCATGATCTATTATCTTAGTTAGTAAGAGTTTTAGCTGATAATTTGTTACAAAAGAAATGGTAATAATAATATAATTTGAGAGAAAAATGATGGAGAAATGATTTTACTAAGAAAAATAAAGTTAATACAAGTTATAATAACTCAAAACAAATCTCTCAATCTCTCGCAAAACACATCTACACAAGCCAATGAACGATCAAGCCAATTTATAAGTTTCAAAATTAGGAAGAGAATTGAAAGGGATTATGGATAATTAAAAAGTACATAAATGGTTGAATCAATTGCATCATCTTTTCAATTTCTCATATTAAATGCTGAATTGAATCACTTTAAAAATTTTGAGAAGTGGGGATATAAAAATCATATGAACATTCATATGGGTATTCATTATTTTATAACATATGAAATATTCTATAAGAGTTAAGACAATATTTATATTATATAAAAACTACTTTAATTAGATTTAAATATAATGCCATAGGGAATGTGTTCAAATTAACATTCTACTACAGTTGCTAAAACAACTCAATTTAATCTATATTTTCTCCTATTTCTGTAATTATTTGTAAAACAATACAAGTTCATTCTAATGATTTTTTTTTTTGAATATTTATATTCCAAAAGAAAGGATATCAATTGATTATCGATCCTATTTTTCTAATGATGATTTTAAAAAATAAAACCTCACCGAGTCAGATCGAGTCAGATCCAGTTTTTTTATTATAAAAAATGTTTTTTTTTTTTCAGATTTAAATCCTCTATGATCAAGTGAGAGAGACATACCGTTCAATTACGAGGCTCAATTACAATATATATTTATTTTTTATACTCAAATGTAATTTGCTTTCTTAGTTTAGAAGGATAAATTTTAGGGGAAAAACAAAATCAATAATGCATGCCAATTCATTCTCGTCCTCACATCTTTCGTGGCTCTGGTTCCCTCTTCGCCCTTTTCTCCTCCCATCATTCTCACAATATCTATAAAAACAGATTAGGTGGAGGGAAGTTATTAATATAATGACATGCGAACAAAAGAAGCTTCATATAGGTTGTTCTTGAGAAGCACGAATGTAGATTTATCCGTGTCCCTAAAAGCACTCATCAAGTATGGAAAAGATGATATGTAATGCCAATATGGAGGAGGTCCCCTCTAGGATATGCTATTTCTTGTTTGTATTTATGCAATAATTAATGTATACAATTGGAGTTTAGTGGAAACGTAATGGTAACAAAAGTATATATCGCTGTATGATGTGTCTATCATGTTGGACTGCTCAAGAAGCGTAATGGTAACTAAAGAATATATCACTGTACGCAAGATTTGTCAATCATGTTGGACTACTTGAAAAGCGTAAAGGCAGTATAATAGCCGAATGCTATGTTAAAAAAAAAAAAAAAAAAAAAAAAAAAAAAAAAAAAAATTGTGATCCAAACTTATTCGTCCATTACAAGAACAAAATCTTCGTTGTTAAGTAATGTTGGGAAATCTTCTAACGCGGTCGTTCTAATTTCATTAAATACTCTTCAATTTGCAGTACCACAACAAAATTGATTTCTAGTGGCCTTTTTTAATTTTAGAAAAGAAAAAGAAAAAATCTTCTAATGATGCTATTATAGATATATTTTATGATAACATTTCACAATTACTATTGTTCATCATATATCTTTAGTGGCAGTTATCAACCAACGTCTAATCCAATTACTCGATGATTATGGCAAATGCCACTAAACAATGATGTTTAGCAATGAATGCGATTGGATCAATAAAAATAAAAATAAAAATCTAATGTGAAATCTGCCATTTAAGTGGATACAATTAACTATCTCTCGCAAACAAACAAATAAATAAATGCTGCTAATATGTATTAAAGCAACTTGAAATATTATGATAACATATATTAAGAAGTATATACCCATACAATGACATTTTTTTTGTTGGTTTTGCCTAGGTATTCATATCCGCCATTAGATATATGATTAATCATATTCGGAATGAGAGTGACATGGTTTAATTCTTTCTAACAAATACGACTTTAGGATTCAAACTTACGAGGAGCATTAGAAATGTGATTAGCTACATTCCGTGAATAAAAGGGAGACTTGAGATTGCGGTACTTATTTTTTAGTTTTCGTATTTATCTTGAATTTTATTTATTCTTTGAAAGTCTTTTAGTATAACATGTTGTCTACTATTTAACCCAAGCATTGGAAAAACTCAAGGCTAACTTTTTGCAATATTTATACATAGGCTTGTTTGCAAATTTAGGTTCTCTATATCCTCTATTTTCTAGGTCCAAAACATGAGTTAAAAGAGGCTAAAGTATTTTGTTGTCAATCTTGCTAAGATTCCTATAGAAGCTTTATCTTGCTTACTCACTACATCGATTGCTATTAGAGCGAAGTTCGCTCACATATTTTGATGGCAAATGTCCTAGTTACGGTAGGTAGCGATCCTTAGGACAAAGATAGGAGGGCTAAGATCTCAAACTTTAGGGTGGCATTGATGGCTTTAGAACAATGAATGGATCACGAATTCTATCATTTAAAAGGGTACTTTGAAGAGATTGTGGATCAACTAGATGCTTTGGGTATAGATGCAAATAGAAACCGAATGATGACGAGTCACGCACTAAAGAAGATGTCACTCATGAGCGACTTATCAATAGACTCGCTCCTAGTGTTCATAGATGTAGGCAACAATTTTACGAGGATGATTCGAGCAAAGATGAGTATTTTGATCAACCTATGTTGAGGCATGTCGACTAAGGGAGACATGATTATAGAGAAAGCAAGAAAATAATAGTTTAAGAGTAAAGGTGTGTTTAATGGAAATCTCAATATTGAAGATTTCATGGATTAGGCTACCGATATAGAAATTTTTTTGGATACATGGAGATCCTCGAAGGAAGGAGAGTGAGGCCAATTGCACGCGAGTTTAAAAGGGGAGCTTCGCTTAGTGGGAAAGATTACAAGTCGGGAGGCACCGTGAGGGGAAAGCACAAGTCAAGAGTTGACACGGAATGAAACGACTTCGATGAGGGATTTTCTTCTCCTTGATTATAAATGGATTCTTTTACAACAATACCGGAGGTGTCATCAAGGCTAGAAGACAATGCATGAATACACTACCGACTTCATGAGACTAGTTGAAAGGAATGACTTGAGGGAAACTAAAAGACGGTAGGTTGGTAAGGACTTATAGGGCTCGAAATTAGCCATCAAAGACAAAATAAGGGTGCATGTAATGAGAACTCGTCCGAGGCTTGAAATATAACATTAAAGGCTGAACTATATTGCAAGGAAAAAAGACCAAATTACTCTCATATAGGTATAATTATAGAACCTTTAGTGAAAAGAACAATATCGTATAAGATGCCTCGAGCATGTAATGATAGAGCTTAGGGAAGGTAAAGCCATGAAAAAATAGAAGGTTACAAAGGTGAATTAAAGTTAGAGAGCCACGAACTTTTATACTAAGCTAATCATGGGTAAGTGTTTCAAATGCAACGGACTAGATGCACTATCGGTAACCATCTATTTAATGTCATTATTGATAATGATAGTTGTGAAAACATTATAAGCAAGGATGTAGTGGAAAAGTTAAGCTTAAAAGTAGAGGAACACCCTAATCCTTATTCAATCAAATGAATTATGGTAGGGAAGAAAATTCAAGTGTTTGAATGGTGTAAGGTTCCTTTTCCATTTATCGAGATGAAGTATTATTTGATGTAGTGGATATGGATGGTTGTCATTTATTATTTGGAAGACCATGTCGGTTCGATTTGACAATACAACACGATGGGAGAGAAAATGTGTACGAAATTGAAAAAGAGGGTAAGAAGTTTACTCTATTGCCTATGAAAGGGAGTTCCAAATTAAAAACTTCCAAAGTAGATAGAGATAGTCTTTTTACACTCACACATTTTACATGGAAAAGGAACCTTACACCGGAACAAATCGAGAGGTACCCGGAGGCCATTAAATCATTGTTAGAAGAATTTAAAGGGATTATTCCAAGTAACTTACTAGAAGGTTTACTTTCTATGAGGGACATTCACCACTCTATTGATCCGGTTCCTAGTGGTAGCCTACCAACTTTAACTTGTTTCAAGAAGAGTCCAAAACAGAGCAAAATTTTGAAAGAAATGGTTGCGGAATTATTACAAAAGATAAATCAAAGAGAGCATGAGTCCTTGTGCGAGCACTGCCTCACTAACTCTAAAAAAGGATAAGAGCTAGACAATATATATTGATAGTCGAGGTATTAACAAAATTACCATAGTGTACAAGTTTCTAATACCTAGACTAGATGAGATGCTTGACATGCTACATAGTGCTTGAGGTGTTTTCAAAAATTGATCTTCAAAGTAGGTACCACCGCATTCGAATTAAGCCTAGGGATGAATGGAAATGCACATTCAAGACCAAGGATGGACTATATAAAGGGCTTATGATGCCATTCAAATTAACCAATACCCCCAAGCACCTTTATGAGGGTTATGAATCGAGTGCTAAAACCTAGGTTGTGGTTAAGGAGTCCAAGGAAATCCATGTGGTAATGGTGAAACATGGTTTAATCATTGGGTATGAAGAACAAATCGAGAGGTACCCGAACAAATCGTGAGGTACCCGAGAGGCCATTAAATCATTGTTAGAAGAATTTAAAGGGATTATTCCAGTAACTTACTAGAAGGTTTACCTTCTATGAGGGACATTCACCACTATATTGATGCTGGTTCCTAGTGGTAGCTTACCAAATTTACCTTATTTCAAGAAGAGTCTAAAATAGAGCAAAATTTTGAAAGAAATGGTTAAAGAATTATTACAAAGGACAAACATGAGTCCTTGTGTAGTAACTACCTTACTAACTTTAAAGAAGGATATAAGTTAGACAATATGTATTGATAGTCGTGGTATTAACAAAATTACCATAGCGTACAAATTTCTAATACCTAGACTATATGAGATGCTTGAAATGCTACATAGTGCTAAGGTGTTTTTAAAAATTGATCTTCAAAGTAGGTACCACCGCATTCGAATTAAGCCTAGGGATGAATGGAAAGGCACATTCAAGACCAAGGATGGACTATATGAAGGGCTTGTGATGCCATTCAAGTTAACCAATACCCCCAAGCACCTTTATGAGGGTCATGAATCGAGTGCTAAAGCCTTTAATTAGTAAATTTATGGTAGTTTACTTTGATGATATTCTTATTTATATTCGGTAAGAAGAAGAGCATATTGAATATTTATGAGAATTTTTAACGAGTATTATAGAAGAATAAATTATATGATAACTTGAAGATGAGTAGCTTTATGACAAACAAGTCGTTATTTTTAGGTTATGTGGTGGGTGTAAATGGCATTCATGTGGATGAACAAAAGCTTCATGCTATTAAAGAATGCCTACTTCTAAAATAGTAACAAATATTATAAGCTTTCATGGGTTAGCAACTTTTTATAGATGGTTCATTAAGAATTTTAACAACATTGAAGCATTTATCACAGAGTGCCTAAAGAAGGGGAAATTCTAATGACGAAAGAAGGCTACCAAAAATTTCATTATTTTGAAGGAAAAATTATATACTCGCCTTCATCTTATTATTTTGTCCTCTCTTAAAGAAAAGACCCGTAACTTATTTCGATGAGAAGCTTAGTGATGCGAGGCAAAAGTGGGCTACATACAATAAAATTTCTATTCTATTGTACGTGCTTTGAAAAATTAGGATCATTAATTGATTGGTAGGGAATTTGTTTTGTATACGGATCATGATGCTCTAAAGTATCTAAATAGTCAAAAGCAAATTAGTAGGGAAATGCATGCGAGGCGGTCATAATTCTTGAAAAAATTCATGTTCTCATTGAAGCATAAGGCTAGAGTACATAATAAGGTGGATGATGCCTTGAGTAGAAGTGATGAACTAATGATGACTATACGGTAAGAGGTTGTGGGCTTTAAAGAAATTAAAGGTTTGTATGAAGTAGTTGAAAATTTTTATAGTTTGTGGCGGAGGTGTGTTACAAACCGAGTTTATGGAAGACTTTCATATTCATGATGGCTTTCTCATATGAGGGAATCGACTTTGCATTCCTAAAACTTCATCAAAGGAAAACCATTGTTGCTATAGAGGAGAGATTCTTTTGGCTATATTTGTAAAACGACATGTCTAGAATTATGCGGATATGCTATATATGTCAAATTGCAAAGGGCGATCCAAAAATACTAGGTTATATATGCCTTTACCTATTCTAAAGAACATTTGAAAAGACTTATCTATGGATTTTGTTCTTGGTTTTCCTTGAACACAAAGAGGTATGGATTTAGTTTTTGTGGTTATAGATAAGTTCTCAAACAATGGCACATTTTATTCCCTACAAGAAGACTTCGGATGCTAATGGCGTAGCTCGGTTGTTTTTCAAAGAAGTTGTGCATCTACATGAGGAACCTAAGACCATTACTTTAGATCGGGACACCAAGTTTCATGGATATTTTTGGATGACATTATGGAAGCTATTTTATTGTTCACTTAATTTCGGTAACACAACTCACCCATAAGTGGTTGGTGAAATTGAATCGATAAACAAAACCCTTGATAATTTAGCTTGTAGCATTTGTGGGGATAGACCAAAAACAATGGGATTGGACTTTGGCACAAGTGGAGTGTGCTTACAACGAGTGTAGTTCATAATGTCACGGGAAAGTCCCCCTTTTCTAGTGTATACATTTCACCACCGCATTATGGTCTTCATTTGATTAAGCTTCCTCGTGCCCCTAGAGTTAACAAAGTTGCGGAAAATATGGCTAATCAATGATGAGCTATTCAAATAGGGGTATGACATAAATTAGAGAAGGCTAATATCAAGTATAAGAAGACAGTCGATCAACATCGTCAAAAGTAGATCTTTGAAGTTGATATCGGGTGATGGTATTCCTGTGTAAAGCGAGGTTTTTAGTAGGTACCTATAACAAGTTGCAACCTAAGAAATATGACCCTTACAAGGAGTTGAAGAAATTTAACTATAATGCATATGTTGTGGACCTACCAAACACAATGGGCATTTCCAAAACTTTTAATGTGGTAGACCTTTATCCTTTCTACTCTTTAAAGGAACCATTATATCTAGATGCACAAGATAACTTGAGGTCGAGCTCTTCTCGAGTGGAGGGGACTAATGAGAGGTGTTAGAAATGTGAGTCACCTAGAGTCCGTGAATAAGAGGGAGAATTAAGATTGCAATACTTATTTCTTAGTTTTTGTATTTATCTAAAGTTTTATTTATTAGTTGAAAGTCTTTTAGCGTAATATGTTGTCTACTATTTAAGCTAACGATTAGAAAAACTTTAGGGTAACTTTTTGCAATATTTATATACGGACTTGTTAACAAAATTTGGGTTCTCTATATTCTATGTTTTCTAGTTCCAAAATAGCGAGTTAATAGAGGTTGGAGTATTTTGTTATCGATCTTGCTAAGCTTTCTGCATAAGTTTTATCTTGCTTACTCGTTGCATCACAAACTCTATGCATTGATAAAAAATTCGTCCGAAAACCAATTAGCGTATCATTAAATCAACAATTTATTGGTCATACATCTTTTGAAATTATCACTATAACTCTCGAATAGTTGCCATTAAATTTCAATTCATTATAGTACTGTCACATGATATTATTGAAAGGAAAAAAGCTTTAATGAGAGTAAAGTTGGAGGTATATTCAATTTCTGGTAAATAAAATATCATAAAATTCAGTCGAGTTTCGCCTCCAAACCGAACCGTCTTCAATTCAATCTGGACCTTGTAATGAGCAAAATTGATGGTAACAACTAACAGATTAATTTACTAGGATAGAAACAACTCCTGCAAAAGGGTGACGCTATCTCAACAATACAGTGATGGATCAAATTTGGACTCAGTTTTACGTACATGTTTGGTCCCTACAATATGTCAACATATATATTATATATAATTCATTGGCTAGCAGTTTTCGCACAAATGGATCAGATGTGCGGAAGAAGTTGAAATGCAAAGATTTGACGTGTTGCAATTAAAAAGCCACGTGACTAGAAAAAAAGTCAGAAAACAACATCCTTTAACAAACAAGAAACAGTTGTTAATAATTGAGGACTGTCCTTTTCATGCAAATGCGCCTAGATAGCGCTATTTCTGCAACTGAAAATGTCCTCACGAAGGAATATATATTTCATGAAGCTAGATCTAATGTGAAAATTTGAATAAATTCTTTGGTCATATAAGAAACAAATAGCATGCAATTATATGCATAATTAGTAATTATTCTTATTTTCTTATTAGATGATTGCTTTAATCAATTTTATATCTAAAAAGCCTCTTTATGTTGTAAATAATGTATGATTTTTTTAAAATAGTTTACAAATGGAATAGACAAAGGCTTATTTTGTATATGCTTTTTTTTGTTAATAAAAAAAATTAACTACGTATATATTAATTCATGTTTTTTTTTTTTTGGATCCCAACTCTACAACTAATTGATTTGACGAGATAATAAACTTCTCCTAGAATCAAGTAAAAAAAAATATGAAAAAAAATTGATGAGAAAATAAGATATTTTGTAAAATAAAAAATAATATTAAATTAAGCATAATCAATATTGGTTATCATAACCTAACATTTGGGTTACTTTTGTTTTCGGTAGGTTTTTTTTTTTTTTTTTGTGGCTATTTTCATATGTTATGTTGGTTTATGGGTATAATTTTATGTATTTTATTTCATGAGAAAAAAAAGAAAATAAATCAAATCAATTTTATCATTTTAATTTATCTTGTCTTTTCTTTGTTATTATTTATTTATTTATCCTATTTTACTAGTTATCTTATTTTATCCTTTTATTTAGGTGTATTTTTTCGATCCATAGGTGCAATAAAATGCAATTGGAGACAATTAAGAACATAATTAAAATGATTCAAAACACTAGAATTGAAATTGAAAGATATAAGGACTCAATTGAAAAAAAAATTAAAAGCACATAGATTGCAATGACATGCCCAAATGATATAGTTGAAAAATAACTAAAGCTACAAAGGCCTAAACCGACATAGGATACGAACGACGGGACCAATTCAAAATAACCCGAACAATCTATCATTCGAGTCTTCCGAGCAACATCTAAGCACACATACTGCTATACATCACCATCCTCTAAGCATCGTTTATCTTCATCAATGAAGACAATCGGCTAAAGGGACAAACCGGTCAACTTGCTCCCGTACCCGTAACACTCGCACATATACAACACATCAAAACACATATAAAGCAAAGGTTTTAAGTCCGTTCATACAAGGTCAAAACTAACAACAAACCCGGATGGTTTGTTTTGTTGTAGGGGAGATTGAGTTTAAGAGAATTGATCCCAAGGTCGAAGATAAAAGACTTTTGGGTATAAATAGAGGTCGGGAGAAGAAAAACAAAATAAGAAGAAAGGTAATAAGAGCAATTGAAGAATTTCGGAGAGATTTGAGCAAATTGGGAAATTTTAAAGAAATTTAGAGGCAATAAAGCGAGAGAGGGAAATTTTAGAGAAAAGGCTTAGGGTTCTTACTAGGCTTTAAGAAGAAGGGATTTCGGGATCAATAACACCAAACTAGCTTTTGTTAGTTTCTAGATTTTAGAAGAATACCTTCTCACCGAGTAGGAACAAAAATCACCATTGCCAATTGATCATCCTCAACCAAGGTTTCCTCAATCGAACTTCAAGGTAAGATTGTTTGTTGTCCTTCATTTGATTTGTAGCTTTAATTGCATTGATTTAGCTATGAATTGTTTCGAAATGAACGATGATAGTGATTTCATCACTTGTCATCATGCAATCGTCCATTGTCCTAATTCTCTTTGTGTGTTTGAGTTTGGGAGGTGCGGGATAGGAAATATTTGATGGCTTGAAATGGTTTGATTTTATTGACGAAGGTAGTTTGTTCGATTTTCGATTTGGCGTATGAGTAGGAATGGATTAAGGAAAGAGAGGGCTTTAAGTTTCTAGTTGAGAAAGTGGAGAGAAGATTAAGAGGTTTTAGTGATGGGTCGATCTATAAAAGGATGAAGCGAATTGGAAGAAGAGATTACTTAGGGTTCTAGATCCGCAAAAGAAAAAGGAGATCGAGAGAGTTGTTTATGAGTGATAGGGAAAAAGTTGAATTAGAGGTAAGAAAAAAAAAGGGTTAGGGATAGGCATTGGGGATTTTGAGTTAGTTTTATTCTTAATGTTGGATTGATGAAGAAATATAGGATAAAGGGTTAGGCTTAGCCTAACCTTATGTAGAAGAAAAGAATGGGCCGAGCTTATCCTAGCCTATATGAGACCAAAAGAATGGGTTGGACTTAGCCCAGCCCAAACCTAGGATGAGACAAGTTGGTCCGCCTAGTAGGCCTATCTAGTGGGCACGACTTAATGGGTCAAAAGTTCACTAGGCCCAAAACCCCAATGATCCCTATTTCTTTTACTCATTTTTTTTTAGCTATTTCCCCGGGTAAATTAAATCTGAAATTTTAATACATGCTTTCTATTTTCATGCCTAGTCTAAATTTAATTGTTTTGGAATTTTTGAACTCTTTTTGCCTATTTATTTCAATTTATTTAATTTAATGCGTAACCTTTAGTTTTCTTTCGATATTTAAATTACAATTTAGTTTAATATTTAATATTAATTAAATCTAAATTTTGTGATTAGATTTTTTCTCCTATAAATGTGTAGGGACAATTAATTTAATTTTTAGATTTAATTTTGATATTAATTATGGCTTGAATAACCAATATTTTAATTAGGTAATTAATCGGTAGATGAATCATCGAATCTCCTAATTTTTAAGGATTGATGATGATTCTCTACCAACCTTGAAAAAAACAATAAAAAAATAAAATGGAAAGAAAAAAATGATAAAAAAAGGCATGAAAAGAGAAGGAAAAAAATAAAAAAAATAGAGAAAATGGTAATGGAAATTAACAAGTCTCCTATCTCGAGTAGGTCGATGTTACCTTAAATCAATCATATTTTTAGTAAGTAGATTGTTCTCCGATATACCAATTATGTCAAGATTTAAATTGGATTCGATGTTGAATTGATAAGACTTTCGGTGATGGGATCCGAAGATCGATTCAATATGATGCCATAAACAAAAATAAAAAATATAATTTGGCTTAGAAAATAAACTTGAAAGTTGAGTTAGAAATAATTTAGCAAAAATAGAAATTTTTAAAAGATAATTTTTTAGGATTAAACAAGACATGGTACATTTATTTGGAAAGAGAAGTTTTGGGTGATTGGTATTTTTTCAAAAGTATAACCAATTCCTTATTATAGAATCTCTAAACCGAGTGCTATTTTTAGGATTTCTAGTTTCTTTAATACTAGGTGAGGACTTCAAAATAATTAATAACTCACATCCTCCTAAATAAACAAAATTTTCAATCAATAAGCATAATATTTGAGAAGTCTTATTGAACGTTGGGTAGCAATATAATGGCAACTCCAATTAAGGATTTAGAGTTAGACCACGGGTTTGTCTTTTTTTATTTTATCTACTTTATTTATTTTTATCATTTATTTTCTAAGTCATTTATTTTTGTCATTTAATTATAATTTATTTGTTTCAATCCTTATATGTACTTCAAGTCTTTTAATTTATGCAATTTATTTTCTTTATGTTTTAATATTGGTACATATTTTGTGAACTGGATTGAATATATATCAACTTTGTTGTTGTACACACAACGAGAAAATCTTATAGAAGCTCTCGACTCGACCTAAAAAAACCATTTGGATTTAGATAGGGGGATTTAGAAGCAAGTATAAATAAATTCTATTGATGCTCATCTCGGACTCTCATATGCTTTGGAACTCACCCTATGGATAGGAAATTATAGAATGACCTTCCCTTACTTTCCGGTACATAAGGTCGAAGCTAAATTACCCAATTAGTAATTTAAATAGTCCAAAAACTTAAAAAGATTTTGGGATTAGACAATTCTTACCTAAACTCTAGAAAAGCTAGATCCTATCCACTAGAATTATCAATTAAGGTATGAACTATCTTTAAATTATGTGAATTCTAACCCTTTTTTATGCAAGTTATCATCTTAACAAATCATAATAGAGAATGATATTGAAGATTATAGAGCTAAATTAGAGCGGGCCTAATTTGAGGAGGGAGAC